AAGATTTGAGAATGATGATACTCAAATTCTGCAGTGTAAAATCATTTAACTGTTTCTGACATCCATGTAATACTTCTATCTGTTAATGAGGCAATCTACTTGTAACTTCAAAGATAACATTTATGTAACATTGCAGCAAAAATGACACCTATACAGCTGAATGCAGCTCTTCAGAATGAGAACCATCATAAGAGAATAAAGAATAGTCTGTGATAGACAAGTTTCAAGATCAGCAGCAGCAGTGCAGCTATCAGTAGGCTGTCTAGGAGAGTCAGAATTCTGAATTTATTTTTCATGTGTGCTATCTGGCCTCTGATCCAGCTAGAATGATCTGCTACAGAACTTGTTTTCATTCTCCTTTTCCTTTCTGGCTCCATAGGGACATAGATGTACCCTCATGACTGAGGAGCAAGGAAACGGGAAACAAGAAGTAACTGATTTCCATTTTTGCATTGTACAGTATGTACAAATGCTTTGGAGATGAGCTGCTGGCAAGTAATAACAAAGGTTGGTCGGAAGTTCTCCTCACCCTCTTCTTGATTAGCTTCATCTGATGATGTGAAATGTTGGCCTTAATGAAGTATACAACAAATTTACTGGTATTGGGGTTTCACATGGAATGTTGAGAGAATTAAGTAACTCAGTCATGTTCTCTAAGTCTTTTCAGTTTACTTTATCTTTCCATATCCTGGGTCCTACCCAGTGTCTGCACTTTGACCCAAATTCCTCTTTATTTCTTTACTCCGACCATGTTGAATAAATTTTGTCTGAAGAGTTGTGATTCCAGTAAGAGTAACTGACTTGATTGTATCTCAGCCTATTTGGCTCAAAATAAAAATAGGTTTGAGCTCTTGCATCAAAATTCACAAAAAGATTTTGAATACTCCAAATTTCATATTGAATCTGGCTCTTGATACACTTAATATTTGATATTAGAGCACATTTCAGGAAGAAAGCTTTTTTTTTTCCAACATATGTATTTATAAAGACAATAGAAGGTCAGCTACTGTAAGTGGTTTTAAAGGATATAAAATGGTTTCAGTTTTAGATCCAGTACCTCTCCAATGGTATATTCTTTTTTCAGAAATGAAACCTGGAATTTCCACAGCTTGTTTTTTCTTTTCTGCCGGCATGAACTAAGAAAAAAGTAGGGACTTTTTATTAGCTGTTATTTTTTTGATAATGAACTTTTTGCTCCTTCTGTGAAATGAAAGAGACAATGCCTCTGAGTAGAAGTAATAAATCAGCTATTTTGTTGCCTATGCAAGTTATCACACTTCTATATCACATTATCCAGCATTTTATTTGTATTCTGGGTGTCCTCAAATGCTGTGCAGTTAAACTAACCAAACAGGAAATGGCATGCTGGTGAACTGGTGCCTGAGAAAGATCAAGAAGGAAGTATATATAAAGTATTTCAGAAATTCCAGAGAAGAGAAAGAAACATGAGAAATCTTTCTTGTTTCTTTCTTTACCTTTTTTTTTTTTTTTTCCCAATAGATGACAAGTTAGATGTGGAGCACAATTTAAGATGTTATGTGGGTTACAGGATATGTTTGTCTGTGGTTAGAGGAAAGTTACAATACTGGAAGAAGACACAATCCCTTAAACAGACCTGCAGGTAGATCTCATCCTTCCCATCCAGGTGTGAAAATTATAGGGAGACAGTGATGCTCTCCTCCCCAGCTTGGGGCTATGCAGAAATTGTACTATTGTCAGGTGGCAAGAAAGAAGTGGAAGGGAGTTAGAGAAAGAAAAGGGTCAGGGAAGTGCTGAGATTGAAAAATCAGTGGGCACTGAGGAAGGAAAAACAGTATATGACACATGTAGCAGATTGCTGAGTTCATTGTGAACTGAAAAGCTGAGGCTAGCAGATTGTCTGCTGTGTAGGGCAGCAATATTAATGCATGTACTCCACGTACATGATTCCTCATTAAAGGTGCTTGGTAATAAATGTAAATATAACAAATGTATTTCTGTGTTGGGGCCCTATGTAGAAGTAATTACTCCAGCAGTAGGTATTTTTAGGAGAAATCCTAAAAAGTGACTCAAGATGCTTATATTGGGCTGAAGTGGCGTAGACATTTTATTATGGGCATAGGAAATCGGTCTGATTAAGCCATTTTTCTTCTTCTTTTTTTTTTTTTTAAATCCCCTCTGCCAAGAGAGGAGGACTGACCCTCTTTTCCATAGGTCCTTGGACATAAATCACAAAAAAATCACAGAAAGAATGGCAAAGGTTTTAAGATATCAAATTCTGCATGACTTTTAGCCTTTCAGCTTTCAGAACAGCCTCCAGTGCAGGAGACATGAGAAAAGTAGCGAAGAGTGTTTGAAGTGTTAAGTAACTAAAATGTTGCATAATGCACATTTTGTTCGAATAGCTCATTTAAGTCGTCATGAAGTCATGGTTTCTTTTGTCTTTTGCGAAAATTAAGTAAAATTTATCTTAAATATTTAATAGGATTGTAGAAGTATTGAATTAAAGCAAATGCTTATCACAGTTCTGATTAATCACAGTTTTCTTTTACATTCCAGAGCAAGTCTAAGCTAAGTTTCAGTTTCCTGAAGGATGTTTGTATTTTCTGACACCAGGCCAAAAATGATGTGTGCAATATTTTCAAACTGCCTTCTGAGACAATTTTTTTTATCTTGGTTTGTCCACCAAAGCCTGAGAAAAGTCTCTTTTGATTGCTAGATATACTGGAAAGCATGTATTTACATTCCAGTGCTTAAGTCTTTTAATTTCTTGTGCCTTTAATAATTTTTTTTGTATTACTGGTTACGTTCCAGCATTCACTATGCTCTGCGTGTGTCAGAATTTCTTACAGTTGATCCTGTAATACTTGTAAATGTACCTCTATTTTTTATCACCAGCATTGTGCTCTGTGATGTTTGAATAAAAAGCTAGTTTATCTGAACTCTTGTAAATCCCTAAAATTTGCCAGCTGCTTTCTGTTTTTGGATGGGACAGCAAAGCAAACTTCTGATTATATCTGAATATCTGATTTCCCATTTGCAAATTGATGCTCAAGATGGTACAGGCAACAGTAAGTGTATGTTCTTTTCAAAATACTAAGGAGGCTCACATCTGAGATGGGGGAAAGAGCAAATTTTAAGAAATTTCTGAATGTCTTGGGGCATGTATGTGTCCTTTAATATGTATGGTCTAATCTTGCTCTTACCTATACTGTTGAAGATAAATCTAACTAGTCTGTATAGTGGGGGATCCAACTCCTGTAAAGTTAATGGCAGCTGTCCAGCTTCATTTAGTGGAAGCTGGAACAGAGATATTTCCTGTTCCATGTTATCTGATGAAGGGTTTGATTGTAGTCTTTTCAACATGCGGATATTGCCTTCTATATTTGTATTTTCTTGTATCTAGAAACCAGCTTCCCAGAAACAGGGAAATTTTACCTTTTCTCCCTCAGCTTAGATTGTGATTATTAAGCTGTTAAAACAGAGAGAGTGTTAAAAAAAGAGGAGTTTCAACTCTTATTTCTCTCTATCTGTGATTAAAAAGTAATTATTTGCCACTCAGCTGGGAGAATGTGCTTCCTTTTAACAAAACCTGATATGTGAAGTGAAATTGCGTTCTGTAGTTGCTGTTATCTACTCCAGACAGATTTTGTTGTTGTTGTTGTTGTTTTTTCTGGATTTTATGAACAGTACTATCAGAACAGTGGTTTTCCTGTATTTCATGACAGTTTTGGGAATTATTTTTTTTCCTCTAATAACAACAATAATAATGATAATAAATTAATATCTTATGGGATAATCCATTGTGATAGTTTCAGCTTTAGTGAGTTTTGTTTAGGCTCTCTTAGCTGCTTCATATTTTCCTGTTTTATTTCTTTTAGGTAATTCTTTTGTTCATTTGTTTCTTGCTTATATTGAGTACTTTTGTTGCTATTGATTATTATTGTTTTGGAGATATGTTTTCAGCTTGAGATTACAATTTTAACAGTTTTATAATTTTTCCTCAAATCATTACATCTGTTGTATGCGATTATGTGGTGTTTAAAAAAAAAAAAAAAAAAAAAAAAAAGCTTATTATTTTACCTTATCTTTGAGAGAGAGAGACATAAACATAATAATCACAATGTGCTTTGCTGTTTCTATAACAGCTTGTACTGCCCAACCATCCTTTGAGGATGAAAATGTAGGGGCAGTTGCAGGACTTCTGTAGTTTTTTCTGGTCCTACTCTCACCTGTATCTGATATTTTAGAGCTTGTATTAGATTTGACTGTAAAATCTGCATGGCTCAAAAAATATTAGGTCAGTGTCATGCTAACTTTTCAGCAAGTAAATTTCTTGAGCACTGATGGCATTATTACTTCAGCCTTTATTTTTCCAATGTATTACTCATCTACAAAATAGCAAAAGAAAGCTATGCTCTTTTTAAAATCTGCCTCATGATGATATTTCTTAGATGTCAAATGCAGTCAAACTATTATGCCAAGTGATTTTCCTAACACATTCTAAAAGCAAGTATGTTTTGCACTGAATTTCTTGCTGCTTTTATCTAAGTGTGAAGACTTCTGTTAGCTGACTCCATTTTTAGGGATTAAAAATACTTAGCAACATGAGTAACATCACCTCTGAGAGTGGTAGTAGTCTTCAAAGAAAATACTGTGTTAGGGAACATTATTCATAAGATAATATTGTGAACTCTCAAAACAAACAGTCCTACGAAAATATTTGAACTGAAAGCAAATCTGAATAACATTTCCATCATATAGTCCCATTCAATTACTTATAATTACCCATATCCATTCTCATTATTAAATGTTTGCAGGATCAGATCTTATCTTACTATTTTTAACTGTACTAAGAACTATATTACAAGTGTTAATATTTGTTATCCTGAACTTTAAATTTTGTATTTAGAAGAAAGGGGAAAAAAAAGCAGCAGAGGGCGCTGAGGCCACCACACTTGGATCTCTTCCTACTCTGGATTTCCCCGTGCAGGGATTTCCCACTCCACTGAAAGAAAAGCCTTTATAAGGAGCACATGCAGCAACTAACAGTTGCAGAGCAGCAGCCTCTCAGTGTACTTCTTTGCAGGAAAGAAAGCAAAGCTTTTGAATCCTAATAACAGCAATTATAAATGTTAAAACAGATGGGAAGAACAAGCCAAACTGTGCTAATTATTTTGTATGTATTAATAACTGGTAAGTTGGGGAGGTTTATTTGCTTCATTTACTTTCAATTTTTATTACATGTAAAGTGAACTACTGTTTTGTTGCTATTTCTCTTTGTTGCATTTGCTTTTACATTCCAGTGAATACAATGCTAATTAAGTAGTTCTTTCAGAATGTCAAGAAGTTTATTTCTGGCATTTCTTTGTAGCTTTTCTCTGCATGGTCACTTTCTTGTAGAGTTTGACTAAAAGACTGTCTAGGAGACAACTGTATTACATAACTGTATGTTTAGTTTTTACTGTCATCTCTGACAGTATCAGTCAAGTTTGATACCAGATATTCTCTTGAAAGTTACTTATCATCCCTTCCCTCAAATGTTATGTAGTTTTACAATAAGATCTGCCTGGTTAGAAAAGTTAGATTATGCCTACAGTTCTATTTTCATTGGCCATATTGATTTATGCATTTCATGCAACAGAAGTGACTTTTAGGGTCATCTCGGCTGTTAATTTAGGGGAAAAAAAAAAAGAAGCAATTTTTATGGGATATTTTGAAGATATAAATCATTGTACAATCTGTATTAGTTTAACTTCCACATAAATGTAAACTTGTAAAGTTGTGACCTGATATCACAGTAGGCCATGAGAAAACAAGAATTTTAACAGTGTTGCTGAATTTACGTATATTTCTCCTTGTTGTAGTTAAAGCTTTTGAAATGGAAGTTATACCAGCTGACAGAATTGTTGCACGGATTGGAGAAACACTGATACTCACATGCAATACTACTGGCTGTGCATTACCAAAGTTTTCATGGAGAACCCAAATGGACTACCCCCTTGGAGGAAAAGTATACAACGACAAGACATACTCTACCTTAACTATGAGTCCAGTTAGTGCTGAAAATAATAATGATTATTTATGTACTGTCATCTGCAATAAAGAGAAAAAAGAGAAGAGTGTCAAAGTTGAACTTTACTGTAAGTAAAAATGCTCTTTAAGTAGTACTCATTTGCTAAGAAATTGTATTTAAAAAATAAATGAATTTTTCCTAGATACTGTAGTTGGCAGTTGTCTGATAGTGCTAGGGTAAGGAGTCTGATATAACTCAACATACATTTCCTTGTAAAGATTCCTTTGTTTGTTTCTTCTCAGCTCCTGTCTGTTTAGCTTTTTACCCTGAAAATACTGTATATTCTCATTCTTCATAATACTTGAAAGCTTGAACATAGACTCCCCCAAATGTTTATAGAAGTCGAACAGAAAGAAACTGTGTGGTTTAGATGGACATAGATGGGAAACCTTCAAGTGCAGAGCACTTAATCAAAGTCTTGGCAGTATGCAGGGTTACAATTCAGATGTCTAAATTTGCCAGTATGAAAAAAGGGATGCTACTAGTGTATCTGTCGTTACAGATCCCTCTGCGTAACTGTGTCACTAATTAGGTGCCTTGCTGGATCTCATTAAATAATTTATGATCATATTCTAAAAAACTGTACAAATGCATTTCTTCTTAGTGTGTGAACTGCTATATATGTTCATATCAAGGTATGTCTTGTTACGGAGTTGATATAAAGGTTGATATGAAGTTGTTATGCACCTTTAATCTTGAGTTGTTTAATGTCTGGACCCTGCTCTGATGTTGAGTCTAGGGCCCATCTCTGGTAGTCTAAAAAAATGTGTTTTGTTCTTTTAGCTTTTCCCAGTGATCCTGTCATTAAGACCACTGCATCTTTAGTTGTTGGAGAAACTGCCACTGTCATCTGTAAAGTACATGATGTGTTTCCTTCTGATCACCTGGAATTACTCCTAAAGAAAGAGGAACATATTCTTCATAGCAAAACTTTTGAAGGAGATGTCTGCACAAAAGCAGAAACCAAGACTGTGGCATACTCATTTAACCTCACGACTGAAGACAATGGTAAAGAGATTACTTGTGTGGCCAGATTACAAATTGCTGGTATGGACTTTGAGCCCAATGAAAGGTCGACTTCTTTGAAACTGAATGCAAACTGTAAGTGTTTTTTTTTATTAGGGCTTTCATATCAAATAGTGTTTTATGCTATGTTTTGTGGAATGGATTTATGAGGTTTGTGCATTTGTAATTTGCATTTTGTATTTACATAATCTATTTTCTGGTATCTATATTTAGATGCAGAAATATCATAAGTAGGATATACCTTTTATTTATTAAATGTTATCTCTGAGCACGATCTTCTAACATCTTTGTGAAACAGATTGTGTTTTCAGGTTTGAAGCCTAGGCCATGTAAGTTAAATGGTTTTATTCAGTAACAGTTAGTGAGAAACCTGTGCACATTGCCTTAGATACCTACCATTGTTCAGAATTTAGGCTGTCCTGTAAGAATTCATCTGTCACTTTCTTACCTAGGGCTCTGGTACTCAGTCAGAAAGTAAGACCATAAGAACAACAACAATAATATCCAGATAAGCAATTATTTTTAAAATTCCCTTGGTATGCTTGGCACTTTCAAGTTTGTAGCCCTAAGCAGTAGGGAGACAAGTGTAAGAGTAAATAGAAAAACAAGTTATTTGTATGCATTGTGCCTAGTTTAGCTTTCAAACCTACAAACTCAGTGTCTTATCACGTCTGGAAAAATCATTCTACTGTGTTATTGGTATCCGTATGATTCTTTTTTTTTCTTGGTAATGCATGCAGTACAACTGTAGAGAAGTTAATGCTAAAGATGTGCATATCATTCTCCATTGACATGCTAACCTTATCTTTCTTCTGTTCTTTTCCAGTTGGTCCACAAAATACTTTCATTAGTGCATCTCCGGGAAACTTATCAATGGAAGGACACTCTCTGAAACTTACTTGTGTGACTGAGAGTAATCCACCAGCACAAGTATTTTGGAGAAAACATCTGGCAAAGGAAACCATTCAGCATTTCGTAGAAAACAATGTTCTTTCTATTCCTCATGCCCATTTCACTGACTCAGGACAGTATATCTGTGAAGTAATTAATCCTGTAACTAATAAAACCGAGAAAGCAACTGTGAACATTGTTATACAAGGTATAAGGCTTGCATTTAACTATTATTCAGTAACTAGTCTGTGGTTGCATATTGAGTTGAAAGTTGCTGAAACACTGATAAATAGGAAATTATTGGCCTTTCCTTTTATGTTTTCAGGATTTAACTTTTGATTCATTGCTGTTCCTTATGGGCTATGGTTTTCATTTCTATGCTTAATTTTCAGATAATTCTCTACTGCTGTGCATGTGTGCTTCTATACTTTTACTACAAAGCAATACTCAAAGCGATTAAGGAACCTGAAGAAATAGTGCTGTGGGGGACAGTTATTCCCTTGAAATGCCAGTGTCCATAGCATAGATTTCATAGGGACATCTCAGTCCCCTGCTTTGGAAAATAATCAAAAGGATTATATTTTGTTGTTGTTGTTATCAGTGTTACTGCTCCTGTTTCTGTAGAGCCAAATGTTTCAGATAGAATCTGGACAAAAACTAAATGACCAAATACTTGGGTGAGCAGTTCCTGATAGTTTTAAAACCCTCTAACTTTAGTTCTATTTTATCCTATGCAGAAATAAAGTAACCAATTATTTTAAGTGGTTGGGAATAGCTTATCGACACATTCCACATTGTTATTTCATTTCTCCCATACTTATTTTTACCACATATTTGTAGTCTCCGTAATTTAGAACCATCACAGGTGGAAGGAGGAGAACTCTCTACTCACTATTATGCGTTATGTCTATTCTGTCAAATTTTCTCCTTAAAGCAATCTAAGGAGGGCTTTTTCCAGCAGAGCATTGTGTAGAAACATTTTTCTTGAACTGTTGTAGAAGGTTCAGTGAAGAGTTCTGCAATATTTGGAGCACATGCATAATAAGAGATAACGGAGTCAAAGGATGGCCCTAGTGCCACTAATATTTAGGTAGTTTTAAATAATAAAGTGTGAAATCTTTAGTACAGATAACTTCTATGAAACTGAATTTCTCTCACTCCTTTTAATGGCAAATGTATGCTTGAGGCAAAGAGGCTACGTAGAGAGGTGCCTGTATTCTCTACTGTTGGCATAGGATCCAGTTAAAAGCATACTATGCAAACAGAAAATGCATTCTGAAGATTTTCTGTGGAGATTATATTGCATCTTTGTCTTTCTTTTCAGTTACTACTTTGTATCCTGTTCTTGCAGTTTCCATTCAGGTTATGCCAAGTGCTGACTCCTCAACCTATAATCAGTTACAGCAGAGTTTCATTTCAGTAGTAAGCATATTCTTTTGCTTTAGTCCTGCTGCTGCTGTGCTGCTGTTTATTGAATGACAACAGTAATGTTGTGTAGGTGTAAGGCTCATTTCTGGCACTAATCCACCTCTTTAACTTTTTTTTTTTTTTCCTTGTAGCTCCACCAAAAAATACAACACTAACAGTTTTCCCATCGAGTTCAGTGAAAGAAGGAGAAAGTGTTACCATCTCTTGCACAGCTACAGGTGTCCCAGCTGTTCAGATTATCCTAGAAAAGAAAATAGGTGGTGTGATCACAACCCTTAAAACAGAAGATGGCAAATACACCATAGAGAAGGCTCAGCTAAAGGATGCAGGAAAATATGAGTGCACATTCACTAACAAATTTGGAAACCATTCTCTAGATGTAGAACTTGATGTCAAAGGTCAGTTAAAATAACTATTGTATAGAGTTATTATTTTTTTTTTTTTTTAATGGATGAGATGACAATGAAATGTCTTTAAAAATACTGAGATGTGTTGCACAGATTCTTGTGTGATATTAGTGGTTATGAAAACTTCTGTCTCCAATTTCAGAGCACAAAATAATCGCTTCTTCAAAATATTTCATAAATCCACTTTTCCCCCAGACTCTAAAACAGGATTTAAAATCGTGGAACCGAGTGGAAAGATACTATTTTAGGACTTTCTTTGCCTTTTGTATTTCTTTTCTATTGAGGGAGCACATCAACCTCTGGGTCTGTTGGTCTGTGTCCTTTCATGAACACAAATGATTGAACAGTGAGTTTAAAACCAGAGGAGAAGAAAAGGCTCAATATTATGTAAAAGATAAGCAAAATACCCCACCAATTTATAAAATGCTATTTCTGTCAGCTGCTGTTGACTGTGCTGTTTTAAGGACAGCTGGTGACAGTCCAAAACTATGCACTTGGAGATTATAGCAAATCCATTAACTGGATTAGTGCTTTGTATATGCAAACTTCATTAGATTGTTTTGTTCTTTGTGCTTCCATTTGTTGCTAAACTTTATGTTTCTTGTCAGTTCCTCCTCAGAATATTACTGTGTTAGTTTATCCATCGGAAAATGTTAAAGAAGGAGAAAATATCACAATTGTGTGCAGCACATACAGTAACCCACCATCACGGATGATCCTGAAAAAGGTTAATCAAGAGAAAGAAATAATTCTACCAGTAGCCAATGGAACCTTTACACTCTACAATGTCACCAAAAATGATACAGGCAGATATTTGCTTGATGTTTTCAATGAGGTTGGAAGCAACATCAAAGTGATAGAGATAGCTGTTGTAGGTAGGTAAATCTATTGTCTAAACTTATTTTGTTTGTATGTTCTAGTAGATTTTGTGACAAAGTAGGCAAAACGAGTTCCCGGATAATTTTTGCACAAAAATATTGAAGTTAACCTAAGAAAAAACCCTAAACCAACAACAGGAAAAATAAAACAACACAAAAACAACACAACAAAATGAAACAAAAAAGAATTCAAATGAAATAACAGAGCAACTGATGAGGATCTGCTTTATTTCACCTTCATATAGTGTGGATGTTGTCTCTGTTACATTAGTTGGCACTGCAGCTCTAAGAAGAGGGTTAGAAAAAGGTGGATTCTAATCATTTTCCTTTGCGTTTTGTGAACAGGGAGGCTAACCCAGAGAGATCTAAATATTGAGCTTGTTAAACATGATCTTCTCCTGAAGCATTATGTTTCCAGGAGGTGGAAGTATCCTTACATTGTTTACTGGGTGAAATAGATAGTATTCTTTTGTTATTCTTCAGGAACTCCATGATATTCTTCATTGATGATATTAAGTGTGTTTGAACTTGTATAGCATGTTCAAGACCCAGATTCTGGCTAAGAATTATAGTGGTACTGTGGAGTTATTAAAGAGTAGAGAAACAGGGAACAGATTTTGAAATGTGCTCTGTGGAAGAAAACTGAAAAAATGTTCCAGTTAAGGTCACTAAAATAACTCTACTTTTAGTTACACATTAAAATTTGTGTAAAAACTGATTCATATAACTTTTTGTATCCTTTTGTCTTCATTTTCAGGAAAATTGGAAAAACCAGATCAAATTATGCCCCTGATTATTGCATTCTCCTGTGTAACAGCAGTAGCTATACCTGTGGTTGCAATTTTGATCTACGTGTCAAGAAAAGCAAAGATAAATGGATCCTACAGTCTTGTTAAAGCATTGAGGCTGAAAGTGTGATTGTGTGAATATATGTCTAAATAGTTCATAATAAGCAATGTTATTTATTGTTGTAACTCTTTCTACGCCTATTCCAAAACATGGTAGCAAACAAGTGATTTGAGAACAGTACTGTGAAATAGCAAATGAAATTTTGGGGGGCTTTAAGAGGTATTTCAGAATTTAAATTAAAGGGAAGTTTAGCAGCCTGTCTTAGGAGTAGGTATAGCACTTCTGCATTGAAGCGTGCTAAACCTAGAGTTCCTTGGAGAACTAGGTTTGTACATAGTGTATAAATTGTTACAAATACGATTAAACTGAATTTCAGTTTGTAAAATTGCAGTCTCTGCAGCTGTACATAGACATGTTGTTAATTCAATAATATAAATAAGCGTTATTTGAACTTACTGATTAATAATATTTTATTTTGTATTATTCTAAAGATTGAATGTTTTTAATATAGTCTTTTTGCTTGTGGCAATGTTTGGAAAATGTTCTCTTTTCACTTATTTTGCTGTAAACTGTGTACCTTCAAAGAAATTACACAATCACAGGGTTATACACATCTGATTATTTTAAATTAACTTAAGACCTCAAGACTCATTTGTGAAGCATTGTATTTTAGTTAGTGAAACATTATTATAAATATTACAGAGGAAGGGGCTGGAATTATAAAATAGATAGTTTTAGGACAGCTGAAGCATTTTTATAAGAATTAGTCATTCATAAATCAGTGACAAAATTCTGCTGCTTCATAATGAACAAATTAGACCCTTTATTTTGAATGTAAGCTGCCAATAAGTATGCTTTGGAGATTTCCACTACAAAATACTACCAGTGTGTTTCTTCTAAATCCCCATAGTGATTCTTGCTTAATATGTTGTCAGAATACCTGCTTTCATACTTTCGTGCTTTCATATCCAGAAATCACCTGCTGTGATTTTGTTAGTTGAAAATGTAGTTACTTTTTACCTGTGGACTTCCTCTGATATTTGTAAACTTAAAGAGATCTTGGTGTAGGTTAGTATTACTAAAGAGAAAGCTTGTGTAGTTCTTAAGCACATTTCTGTAGAAGGAGTTATTGAAAGCTTACTATCCTTAGCAAAAGCAAGTTCTAGAGTCATGGGAAGTCCTGAGGCAAGCAAAGCAAAGGCACAAGCAAAGCAGGTAACCTAAGCAGAGAGAGAATCTATATGACCTCAGCCATGGTGGTGGTTGTTTCCTGAAGCAATGTCCTTCTCAGGCTGCTCACTGTGGAAAACCAAGTCACTTGTCTGACAATCAGTGCCTGTGTGCATTACCCTCCTTAGTGCCTCTTTTCATCACATTCTCTTTCCAGTGCTGGGAAAATGCCTATGAAAATAGTAGGTCTTCTGTGCAGAGGCAAAGATGAGAGGGAATGAGAAGTGGAATTTAATGTTATTCTCTGCTTGCCAGCAGTACTGCTTTGACTCATGTGGTTAGTGATGTTCACTGAAGATAAAACTCTACAAGGTACAAAGCAGTATTAAGTGATCAGGCATTGAGGTGCTGGAGTACTTTTACCCCCAGCTGCCCGGAGCCACTGTGTTAGGCACAACAATGGGGTGCTGGCTGCTCCAAACTTGCGTGAAAATGCAAGATCAGAAATACATATATGAAAGGAATTTCTCTGTGTTATTTACTATCTACAAATGGTAGCACCTGCCCCCAGCAGCAAAACAAACAGATGTCTTTTGATAGCTAGCTGCAGGATGAGGTGGGGTACAAATCTCTGTGTCTTCTTCATAGCATCTTCAGAAGTGCTTTGTGAACAGTAAATCGTTTCATGCAGGGTCCTGTGCTTCTCTTCAGTTGGAATGGGAGCTTCGGAAAGTGAGAGTGTAGTAGAAAAAGAGAAGTATGGACTTGGCTTGAAGGAACATGAGCTTGAAGTAGGAGGGTGAAGAAAAGATTGAAGACAGAGAAGGAGGAGAGCTTTGATGGGCTCATGACATAAATTTCTTGGAGGTAATCCCAAGCAGGTTTATTCTAATGTCAGGCATATCTCTCTGCTGACTTGTGAGCAAACCAGAAAGTATGATTTTTTTCCCTGTATGAAACTTCAGTGCATACACATTTTGTCTCCTGGATATAATTCTTGTTGCTGGAAGACCTGGAAGAAAAAAAAAAAAAAAAAAAAAAAAGAAAAAATTGCATAGGTTGTTTCAGTTTGGAGAGAATTCTGAAGAAGGAGAGGATATGACTGAAGTTTTCTAAATTGGGAAAGCAGTTAATAGCAAACAACAAATGCAAAATTTGTTTGCTAACTCATATGATGCCAGGACTGCAGGACCTCTGGACAAGTGGGAGACTGGTTTAACAGAAATAATTGAAGGTGCTTCTTAATGCTAAATAATTGGAAGCTGCTATTGCTGGAGATTGTGATGGAAGGCAGTATCAATTGGTGTAGAAGGGAAATGGTGAAAAAATTGAGAACTAAAGCTCAAATAAAGCTAAAACAAATACTAAAGGGAATAGGCAAACATTCCTCAGGCTGGTTTTTCATGCTGACCTTAAGCAGTCACTCATAGTCACTCAGTGCTGGAAACATACAGCCATGGTGGAATGATTGGTCAGACCCGGAGAAGTATTTCAGCCTTATGACTTTCTCTGAGAGGGCTTGAGTGAGATCTGCTTGGGTGAGGGATTTATTAGCTCTTGTGCTGTTTTCCTCTCTTCTGTAGTCTCTGAGAAGGAATAAAAAGAGAAGAGTGGGAGAGAAATACGAATCATCTTGCAACAGCACTTCTGCACTTCTGTATTTTTTCCTGGAAATTCCCCTCAGGTTCCCAGTGTATTTGTGATTTATACGCGCATCTTTATGTCTACATGACTTGTCTGCCCCCTCAGAGTCTCTATACTTAATAGCCAATTATGTCAATAGGGGTTGAACTTTGATTTCAGTAGGCCAGTTTCCATAAACATGAAGTGAGTAAGCAGAGCTTACAGTGCTCATTTTAGGAGAGGCTTCTCTTGTGTGGGCAGCAAACTTCCTCTCCTTGAAATTATTAGGAACCTTACCAGGGAATCTCCTCCTCTACAGCCTGATTTTTGGTATTTTCCAGTGTGTTTCTTCATTTGGGCAGCAGCTTGTTTTATGGGGGTTGAAAGTTCATTGTCAAGTAACTTAACTTTTTATTGAAAATCACAGAAGGGTTGTTATTTCTCCCTGTGCTATCTCTCATCATGTGCAAAGCCTCTGCCCTGGCAAAAAGGCATAAACAACAGCTCCAGCCTAGCAAGTGCTTTCAGGAAGGGTCTCGGCTGCTTGGAAGTCTAGGTAAGAGCCCCTGCTATGGGGCTTGCTTTTATGACTGACAGAATAGTCTGTAGAGCAGAGGACTGTGAGGTTCACTCAGGTTTTCCCTGTGCAGTTACTTTATAGCTTGTAGAGTTGCCTTTTACCCTGTTGGCCTGTGCTCAAGCACACCAGTTGTCCATGTGTTTATCCCAGCAATACTGTGGGACAGTGCTAAATGTTACAGGTAAAATGAGTCTAGATATTTAAAAGTGATTACAAAATCTGATTCCCTATATCCAGTTTGAGACATGCTCCTTTTAAAATGTAAAGTTCAAATAGAAAAAGGTAACTTTTTAAATGCTTCTGGGAAATGCTTTCAAATGATTTTGTAGATACACTGAAGGGAATGTTTAATTTCTCCCATGACAGAGGTTTTAGTTCAATTTGTTTTCCCTTTGTGCCTTTCTCCCCACAAGACAATTGTATCCTGTAATCAAACTCTCTTATCTCTTTGATAAACTAAACAAATTGAATTGCTGTAAGCCTACCTTTCTTTATAAAGTTACTTCTATGGTGAATAAATAATCCTCACAGTCTTTTCTAAATCCGCTCTACTACTTCAACATACCGATTAACACATTAGCAAAACAGCAGTATATGATCTTGAACACTCCTCCATTTTTTTAGATTGTAATATTTGTTTATTGTTCTTCCATATTTGTTAAGGGCTTACAGTGGTGGAGACTTAATTAGTATATTAGTTGTAACTTTTTTAGTTTATTATTTTAACTGTGTTGTAACCCTGTGACATGGCTACCAGTTAAGCCACAAAGCTCTTTGCTGTAGCTAGTGAAACTTAGTAAATTGAACTAGCTTTTTACATCCTCATGCCTTCTGGTGCATGTGGGAGAAGAAAAAAAAACCAAACCATAGCACTGCATACATTAGCACTATTTCTAATGCGCAGCTGAAAAGAAAACTTCAGGCTTGAGGTATAATGGCATCATATCTTGACCTCTAGTGTATGGGCTTACCCTCCACAAATAATAGTTTTCTTGCTTCAATATCAGAAATAAAAATAACATGGAAATAAGGCTGCTTACATTTTTTAAACTGACAATACATATAGAAAAAAAAAAGTAAAATTTAGAAATGTATTTTTCCCTCTGTTTATCCAAGTATTGTAACACTAAAGTGAGGTAAAATGGCATAATTCTTTCCAGTTGAATGATTCATTTAAGTACTCCTATCTGAAAAGCATACAGACATAAACATTTTAGGGAGATAATTTACTTTTTGTAGATAAACTCAATGAAAAGGGAAGAAAAAATCCTTCTCGTATACAGCATGCAATACTGGCACCACATTGTTGTTCTGTCTTTTGTTCTAGTTTATAATCAAAATGGCCTTCATGCTGATAAATGAACAGGAATGGAGCAGATAGCAAGACTTTGTTTGTGTTGATTAAAGAACGTTGTTTCTTTTGAGAAATTGTGACGGTGTTGGCATAAACCACTCTTTCCAGGTTGTCTAAATTTAAGTAAGAAGCAAGAACATGGGAAAACAGTGCTCTTCATACTTTGTCTACCAGCCAAAAAAGTAGTATAGCTGTAGAAGAAGCTAAAGAAACGTATAGGATATAAGAGAATTTAGTTCCATGTCTAAAGGGTGGTGGTGGTGGCATTTTGTTTTTTGTTGTTGTTGTTAGCAAAGCCCTCTTGTTCCACAGACAAGTGAATTGGATTGTGATCTAATGGATTATCCATCTGCTCAGTCTTGGGCATGATTGAATAGTGAAGTGAAGGTAAGTACTAGCTGAGACTGATGCAGGCTCATCCCCAAGGTTTCTGCCATTTTTCTATGAACATGCACATTTGGAATCAGACCCAGGAAAGGAAGTGACAGAGCAATTCCAGAAAGAGACAGTCAAAGGGAAACTACATAAACTACGACATGGAGTCTAAGAGCAACCACACTAGGTCAAAGCAAGATATTTTAACCAGAAGTGGGTGGAAGTGAATGCCTAAAATTGCTGTGGAAACATGAAGTGTACAGTAACATCTTCTCCAAATGCACTCCACACTTCCAGCTCTTTTGAAACTCAGCCTTATTGAGTTTGCTTCTCTGCATTCAGTGATTCGCAGTGGATTTGTTTTCAGTTTGTTTGTTTTGCCTCTTGATATTATGAAAATTTGCAGCATCCACGGCATCCTTACTTGTAAGGCAGAAAAACACCACTTTGCAGGGTTCAATGTCCTGTACTGATTATGTCTGAGAGTTTGGAGTTTCTGTTTTATATTTTGGTTTGTCATCTTTTCAAAATGGAGGAAAGCTAGAGAAAGTTTGTGCAGTCTTTCAACACGAAACTATCTAGATTTCTAGATAATGTCATGGACTTAAGAGAATGTAACATGAGGAACTCTGCACAGCATTGCTGCAAGCTGTCAACAGCGGGAGGGAGGGATTTGACAGTGATCCTGCAAAGTATAAGTGGAGGGCTGAATGTGCAATATCTATAAAGGAGTAATTCTCCATGCAGTCTGCATTGCCAATGACTGTAGTTAATGTAGTACAAATGAGTAATCAGAATTACTTTCACATTTGAAGAATTCTCACTTAGATGTTTAACATTGAAATTGTTTTTTTAAAGCAAATGTAAGCATATTGGATAATTACTTTCAAAAATAAGGTAGCATTTTGTATGATTTATCAAAATGAATACATGAGCACAATAAACCAACAGCATGCAGCAAAGATGAAACGAGCTCCTTTTGTTGGTGCCTGTTAAGAGCGTGTGATCAGAGCTCAAGTCTGTGACACTTGAAAAGATAAGGTGTCAATTCTGAATCACAAAATTAACATCCCTGCCTGTAGTTAAACGATGAATAACTCTTTTTAGTTGTATCTTTCTTGCAGTTAAACTGTCAAGCACAGAAATCTGGAAAGTGTGTGATTTGAGTGTCTATTAAAAAGATCCATCCTTAAGTTCCAATTTTCTCCTGGAAAGAGACAGAAATCTGCAGTCTAGAGAAATTGAATGTAGTGCTGTGTATCTTCTAGATCATCCTGAGATATATTCCATGCAAGAATTGTACACTAAAGCATCTTAAATTTCATATAATATAAGTTATTGATGCAATTCTTGATGATTTTCTAGAAGATATGCTGTAGGATTTACTAACTTTAAAGAGGTCACAATTAGATTGAATTAAAATCATTCATTTTTTGGAGAATATACTGACTAAAGGTTTAAAAGCCAAAGTATGGGAAACTTTGTAGCTATAGTAGGCCTACTTTTGCATGTCATTTAATCTATTTTACAACTTGGAGTTTGTAATCTACTGGTATGTTTAAACACTCTCGTCAGACAGATAAAAAACACATCTTGGAAGGGCAAAGTGTGTTTTCTGGTCTTATTGCAGTCTTTTTATATTCTTCCACTTACCAGGGCCTAGAGAGAACAGTGTGTTGTCTGCGGTGTACAACAAAAAGACAAGGGATTATATTCAAAAGATACAACAATGAAATTTCCAGTTTTATGTGAGCAACAAATTGTTCATGGTAAGGATGGGTCAGCACCCAGAATGCGTTACTCAGCAGCAGTAGGACTTCTGTCGTTGAGGATTTCTGCAGTCAAACTGGATAAGACCAAGGGTGACTTAACGTAACTTTAAATTTAGCTTTGCTTTGAGCAGGGCTGTGGACTTGATGAGGTTCCTGTGGTCACCTCATCTTAATTTTTTCTGAAACTCTGTTACAGAGCCTTCATAAGTTAACTTTGCTTACTTCATAGTGAACAATGTAATTGCCATGCAGGATTAAAAAAACCCATTTGAACGGTTCTTTGTTAATAAGCAGCAACCAAAGTTTCTTAGAAGGATGTGAGAAGCACCCTTGCAGGCAGCCACAGGCTTAAAAGCCATGTGCTTTTAAGGTATTAAGCATCTTTATCTCTTCAATATAAATTGCTTAAGTTTAAGTCTGCAGGCATAAGACTCTCTTCTAAATCACTAGCATTGGACATTTGTCTAAATGTCCAGTCTCTTTATGACTCCTGCTGAAGTACTGTCCTCAATTGCTTCCTGTGAATAACAGAGTTTAATTACATACTTTGTAAGAAGTATTTCCTTTTGTCTGTTTAAGATACTTCTGTCCACTTGTTTCTGAGATGCAATACAGGGAGACAGTAGTTTGTAATCTGCCATTTTTCTACTGTTATTTAATGTATGCAATTCTGTCATTTTCTCAATGAAAAAAAAAACCAACCCACCACTAAAATATCTCTTTTGGGCATTTATGTTGAGAAATGCTTTTCATTTGTCAGCAATTTCTGTAACCCTCTTGAAAACTGTTAGTGTAACTTCACCTTTCATAGCTGATCATCAATCTGGTATTTAGTATTCTAAGTGAAGCCCATCATTTTTTTTACCTTAATGAAATAATAATTTTGTTTGTATTATTCTGCATCTCATTCTTTGTATAACCTCATGTTATGGGATATGGCTGTCTAACGTCAACGAAGTCCAGCTTATACCAAAAGAGGATATTTCATACTTCTCATCCCTGTTCACCTATGGTAGGTGAAACAGAAAGTTGGCTATTACTGAGTATTAATATCTCATGCTCCCAAACCTTTTATTTTTCTTTTCTGTTGGGCTCACTTTTAACTGGGTAAGATCCTGCATCCAACTTGACACGTGGTCTTGTTACTATCTGGGCAAGTGCAGCCAAGTTAGGGGTAGTGATGGTCAGCACAGTGGCAGAGACATCTCTCCCAGACATGCAGCACTTCACAGTCTCTGAATTCAGCTACTCTTGGTTTTGTGATCTGTTTTTTTAACCACAGATGCACACTCAGCAGAGATCTTTACTGAGCTTAGAACAGTGCTTGTTAATTGCTTATTTAGTAAAATGCATGCTAATCTAATGGCAGATTTTATAAACTCATCTAAACAGTCAGTGTTCAGCATGTCACCCAGAAAAATTTTTTGTAGAAAATCAAAGGCAGTTAGCTTCTTTCTGCAAGTCTTTGATATTTATGAAGCCTGACCTGGATTTTCCAAGTTGACTGTAAAATATTTTCCACTTCCTTGAACATCTTGAATGTATTTGATATCCACACTTAGGACTTCCTTTAAAGTATCCTGGACTGAAAACTGTGTTCAAATGAGAAGCATTGAAGGTTGTCTTAACATTCTCTTAAATGTAAAGACCTGCACTGTATAAATAAATTAAATTAAGATGTGATGATGGCTGTCTCTCTCCTACCATTTCTCTGTAGTTCTTGGCATCCGCATCCCTTTTAGGATGCTGTAAATGGCATTTAGGATTAGCTATCCATAAATCACCTGTGATATCAGAAGCCAGTTAAAATATTTATTTATCACCATGGACTTTTGTATCAACTTTTATTGTGCGAGAAGGTCAGAATGCTTTGTTTTTATAAGAATTGAGCAAAAGGGAAAAGTTTTCTGATACTGATGCATTAGCGCTTTTACATTAGCGCTAGCATTCCATATAGAAAACACCTTTTCTACTCCTCTCCTGTTTGAAAGTTCTCACTGTTCTGGATTACCTGTTTTGTAATCATAGCAGTAGCATTCCAGGTGCAGCCCTAAACTCCAGTGTGTACTTCTTTGTGTTACTGATATACCACTTCTTGAATGTGTTCTTCCTCAGCCATGGCATTAACTGAGAGACAAGCTGGATGGAATGACTGGATGCTGGGTACACAGGACTTACCCAAGGCTGTGAGCTTTGTCAGGATGGTTTAGTGTTCATTACCTCTGGAGAAAGCCTGCTGTTTGGATCCTGGTGCTTCTTCCAAGGATTTTGGTGAGTAGATCTAAAACTGTAGATAAAGGTGTTCCCTGAGTTACTTTCAGCAGTTTTGCTGTGTAAGTGAAACATACTGATGTGTCAGCAGCTTCCCAGCATTGTTTTAAAACAGCAAATTGGTTAAGAACACATGCTATTTCTGTCATCCTCTATTCACTCACTGTTCAACAACAAAACAGAAAATTAAAACAAATTGGGTCAAAACCTGTGACACAAGAACATAAATCTACAGATTGCTGCTGCTTGTCTTCCAACATCTTCTCATAAAGAAATTGCTTAGAAAATATTTTTCCCTTGACATCTAAATTCAGCTGTTTAAAACACACATCTGTATAATATCTAAATTTTTAATGTCAGATGTATCCTCTTAGAGAAATGTGATAATAGTTTGAAATGTCAGCCATACTTGCAGCTATTTAATTCCCTGACTTAAATTTGGGTGTGTGTCACCACCAACAATACTATTATCATTTGTTTCCAAGATTAAATGGGGAAATAATGTCTCTATTTTCTTACAGTTGCAAAGCTGTCCCAGAATAGTTTTTAAGGGATCCTGAAACGTAATTTTTGACTCATATTTTCTAATGCACCTTTTAGAAATTGAACTCAATTTTCTTCTGTATCCTATCTTGTAACATTGCTTTGTCTTTCAG